CTTTTTGGGAAAGCTCCTACCAAAAATTCAAACCTTTTTCGGTTTCAAGTATTTTCTTGATTCTATCCAGTTCTTGTAATGAATCAAATGGTCTTTCCACATTGGTGTTAGTACTTCAGGAGGAGGGAAAGATGTGAGGCTGATAGAAATCATTCCAATTAGAACACTTCTTCGTCATGCTTTTAAAACAAAAATTGGACAGCTTAACAAAAGACATCTATATTTTTAAAAATAAAATAGTACAGAGGAATTCTGTCCTTCAAAGATAAATGAAATCACCTTCTTCCCCTCACACAGGAATGTGCTGCCAAGAGCCACTTGCTGTTTGCTAATAACTCCTGTACACAACTTTTTACATCCAAGCTCTTTGTGCAATAGCACAGCAGTTGTGTTTCTGAAGGGTCTTTTGTTTTCTTTGTCAGATTGGACTTTTAGAAGTAATTTTCTTATTTTATCTTTCTCTCTTCTCTGTTGAATCTAGGGAGAAAAAACTGTTGGTTAGCTCAGAGGACTACGGCAGAGACCTGACTGGTGTGCAGAATCTGAGGAAGAAACACAAGCGCTTAGAAGCAGAATTAGCTGCTCATGAACCTGCTATCCAGGTGAATGCCCCTCCCCATGACAGATTTCTCTATAAGCAGCATCTTTCTTGATTGTGGAAGACATGAAAGCAGGCAGTATTTTTGCTGGACCCCAAACAATGCACATGAGAAAGGCAGGTGGTGTTCCAATAACTGTTTCTCTGCAGGGTGTTTTGGACACGGGTAAGAAGCTTTCAGATGACAACACAATTGGAAAGGAGGAGATACAGCAGAGACTGGCTCAGTTTGTGGATCACTGGAAGGAGTTAAAGCAGTTGGCATCTGCTAGGTATGAATTTCTGTAAAATTCAGTATTAATTCAAAGTTACATGGACTCATAATGATCAGACATGCAGAATTTCAGGGTTATTAGGTATATGATGCAACAGCATCTATCAATGATCAGACTCTACAAGACTACTCACAATGTTCCTCAGTAGAAGCATGAGCCTCTTTTTGAGGTGTATGTTGTGTTTAGCCTTTTCTTGCACCATTGGCAACCACAGCCTTGCAGTCAGCTGGCTTTAATCTACTACCAGGAGATTTTTCCTGATGAGAAATTGTTGCGAGAGAATTTGTTTCATTTCTTTGGCAGTTGCAGGCTTCGTAGTCCAAGGAATTTGTAGAACACCAGCCATGGCTGCTGCTGGAGGAGTGAAGTGTGAATGATAGGCTTCAGGCTCTGCACGTTGTTTTTACATCTTACATCTCAATATATCTCAAAGCAACACTGACTAGTTTTACTTTCCCCACACAGAGGTCAGCGTCTCGAGGAGTCTCTGGAGTATCAGCAGTTTGTAGCAAACGTTGAGGAAGAAGAGGCCTGGATCAATGAGAAAATGACACTTGTAGCCAGTGAGGATTACGGGGACACACTTGCAGCTATCCAGGTATAGAGGAAGTTGCCAGCACTTTATTGTTTCAGTGTTGCTGGTTAGAGCATAACAAACCTTTTCTTTAATTGTCTTTACAATTTGGAGGATACTGTTGGTTCCTTTTGAAGGCCTACACTGTAAAAAAATGGAAATTCACTTTATAAAAGCATTCCAATAATGTTATTTCCTGTAGAAATTACTTGCAGTTTGATGTAGTTTTGCATCTCTTGACCTCTGATTGGAAGTCAGTCTCAGTTTCTTTTCGTCCTCAGAAAACCAGTAAATTGTGCTAACCAGCTAAGATGAATTTTTGACAGAGAAAGTTTATGCTATCTCATTTATAAAATGAAATACTTTTTAATAAATGGTGAGAAACTATTTTTAAAAGCCTGTGTCTTGTATTTGCAGGGCTTGCTGAAGAAGCACGAGGCATTTGAGACTGATTTTACTGTCCACAAGGACAGAGTGAACGATGTCTGTGCTAATGGAGAGGATCTCATTAAAAAGGTGAGCATGAAGTAGTAAAGAGAAACCTTCAAAGGCTCCCCAGGACATCTTTGTGTTACAGTAGACTTGCTCCTCTCTGTCATATCTTTGAAAAGAGCTTTTTTTTTTTTGCGGCTGAATAAGCTGCTGGTGTTTTGCTTTCAAAGCTGTTTCTGAGACAGTATCTTTCAGCTGAAGCCCTTGCTCTGTCACCAACGTTTTGAATGCCTCAGATGACTTTAACATCATGCAGGATGTCTAATTTTTTTTTCTTCCCTGTCACATAGAACAATCACCACGAGGCGAACATCACTGCCAAGATGAAGGGGCTCAGAGGCAAGGTGTCAGATCTGGAGAAAGCAGCAGCTCAGAGGAAAGCCAAATTGGATGAGAACTCAGCCTTCCTCCAGTTCAACTGGAAAGCAGATGTGGTCGAGTCATGGATAGGTATGTTCTGTACTGAAGTACAGTATTTGGTCACAAATAATCCTTAAACTCCTTCATTTCCAAAGGTCTTCAGTAGCTCCTCAAGTGTTGTTGTAACAAACAGACCTAAGCCCAGAGTAATCAGCAGTGCTGTCCCTGCTTTATGTTTTTGTAGTAACCTGATGTGGAGCAGGGGGAATGTTTGAGATGGAGAAATGACATTTTGCAACATTTATTTCATTTTCCAGGGGAGAAGGAAAACAGTCTGAAGACAGATGATTATGGACGTGACCTTTCTTCAGTGCAAACTTTGCTCACCAAACAGGTCAGTGCTGATGCCTCCCTGTGAGGGAGGGACCAGCTGAACTCTTGTGAACACACAAGAATCTGTGTTTGAAATATATGCAGGGTATTGGAAAGGCTAAAGAAAAATACAATCTAAAATACCTTTTGTTCTTTTAATGCTTCAGGAAACGTTTGATGCTGGACTTCAGGCTTTCCAGCAAGAGGGAATTGCAAACATCACTGCTCTGAAAGACCAGCTGCTTGCAGCCAAGCACATCCAGTCCAAGGCCATTGAGGCCCGGCACGCTTCTTTGATGAAACGCTGGAATCAGCTACTGGCTAATTCTGCTACCAGGAAAAAGAAACTCTTGGAGGCTCAGGAGCACTTCAGAAAGGTAAGTGGCCAACCATGGGGCTAAAAAATTCTAATTGTGCACTTGATACAAAATACACACTTGCAACTTCTGTAGCTTGTTCATGCTTTTGCAGCTAATGATTTTGGAGGTCCTGGAGAATTAACAAGAATTTCTGAGATGCTTGCAAGGCAAACTATTGTATATTAATTCCTGATGAGCTCATACAGAATATTCCCATTACTGAACAACTGGATTTTTCCCTCTTTTCAAGGTTGAGGATCTGTTCCTGACTTTCGCAAAGAAGGCCTCTGCCTTCAACAGTTGGTTTGAGAATGCTGAAGAGGACCTGACAGATCCTGTGCGCTGCAACTCACTGGAGGAAATCAAAGCCCTGAGAGAAGCTCATGACGCTTTCCGTTCCTCCCTGAGTTCTGCCCAAGCTGATTTCAACCAGCTGGCAGAGCTTGATCGCCAGATCAAGAGCTTCCGTGTGGCCTCCAACCCCTACACTTGGTTCACTATGGAAGCTCTTGAAGAAACCTGGAGGAATCTGCAGAAAATTATCAAGGCAAGTCATTGATGAAAAGATTCTCTTCATAGTTTATGACCTTTCAGTTATCCCTGGAAGTTGTTCTCTGAGATAATGGGTACAAGAGTTTGTCACCATAATACAGTCAAAATATCTCAAATTTCGTAAGCCAAGAAAAATTGCCATTAACTATAAACTTGTGCTGTTGTCTGTTGTTCTCATGGTGTCTCACTTCCTAACTTTAACAGAAGTTTAACTTCTCTGCTGTGCGTGAAACAACTGCTGGTTCAATTCCAGTTCTCAGGGCTTCAGTTCTGAGTTACCACCTGAGATGCTTTTCTCTAGATAGCCAGGACACCAAGCACTCAATTTTGTTTTGAGGCTCAGTACTGTGCTGGGATTCATCTTTTAGTTCATGCTTTCTGTTAAAGGATGAGACCAATCCCTTTATTTCTCTGAAATTACTGTTGCTCATTTCTCAGGAACGTGAACTGGAGCTGCAGAAGGAACAGCGAAGGCAGGAAGAAAATGACAAACTGCGTCAGGAATTTGCTCAGCATGCCAATGCCTTCCATCAGTGGATTCAGGAGACCAGGTATAGTTTGTCTTTCCAGGACCTGCCCTTACAGAATCCCTTAGGTAGTATTTGCGTGCATCCTCCATCTCTTTGGACTGTCAAAGCTGTAAATGTCTCCTACTGAAAAACAGCTCATCAGATCTTGTCCATTCCCTGCATCTGGGATTTGGGGGAGCCCTCATTAGCTACAGGGGAAAGGAAAGCCCTGAAACACCAGTCTTAAAAATGTTTCTATTTCTGAATTCATTTTTCTGCAGTAATTCCAGTTATCCAGGACTTCATTTTTCTCCAGTTATTCCTGAACTAGGCTGCAGCACAGCTGGGGAGGTGGAGCACAAATAGCTCCAAGCAGATTCTGAAGTGCCAGTGGCGTTTCTGTTAATGCCCCTTCTGTATTGTGTATTGGGAATCTTACTGGAGTTCAAATAGAGAAAGACGATATGAAAAGAGCTTAAAACTTTTATCATTTCCCTGGGCTACTGTCTAATAATAACCTTCTCTGAGGAGAGGGAGTAAAGATTTAACAATTGTGTTAGAAATAGAAAGTCTCAAGGTTGAGCATTGGAGGTGCCTGCACTCAGTGCTGTCAGCAGCTCTGATAGGTTCTGGTTGGGGTCAGAGGAGGTGAGTTCTGTTCCATGTAACCCTGTGATTCTCTGTCTGTGTATTTAAAAATAGTTCTGTATGTGTCTTCATGAAATAATGAAATATAAATATGATTTTTAACTTTTTGATGTTTGCTTCCCACCCAAATCTCTATCCCTCTCTTACTGTCTTGTCTCTGTCCTGCTGCCTGATGTTTGGATCTTCACATTCTACAGGACTTACCTGCTAGATGGGTTAGTATTAAATTTTATATCTTTCAAATTTTGGTGACGTGTTCTGCTCAAACTCCTCTTATTTGAAAAAGCAACCTTTTGCTGAGGTGCACAGACACAGGAAACAAGATCTAGGAGTAGTTAACTATAAACCAGTAGAAACAACAATTTCCTAGTCAAAAGCAGAATTACAGCAGGCAGCAACTGGCACACCATGGAATTCCTGACTTTTCCTCTTGCTTTCTCTGAGGGCTTGCACAGGAAAAGATCCTTAATTTGAGAAGATACGTGAGAGTATAGCTGCTTTCCAAAGGCAGGCTATTCTGACATTTCTAGTTTTTCAGCTGAAGAGACTTTCTTAGTGAAATAAAACATTTGACCATAACTATTCTGAGAACAGCGAAATCTCCAAAGTATTGACTGGTTTTGATAAGGAGAACATTTTTCTGAAATTATGTATCTTAAAACATTAAACCTTTAAAATCTTAAAGTTTGCAAATATGAACTGCCCATTTTTAATCTGCTGCAAATCACGGTCCGCACAGATTTTAGCCTTGATAAGAGAAAACCAACCTTCCAATGTGAATCCAAGAAGCTGTTGGAGTTTGCCAGCAGTTTTAAGCCCACTGTGTCCACAGTAATGGTTCCTGATGAGGATGTGTGTTGGCCATTTGTCTGGAAGTGGAAAAGAAATAATAAGATCTTTAAATGTTTTCAGACTACCAAAGCCTCTGCAAATGGGTCTGTCCAGCTAAATTCCTTCAGCAGGACAAGTGGTAGCACAGTGGAAGCTTTGTGATAAGATGTGATGTCAAATGCCAGCAATCTCTGGGCCAGGGCAGAGGCTGTGTGTGAGCCTGTGCACCGGGCTGGAGGAGGCCAGGGCCTTGCTCCTAAAGTGAAAGCTTTTTGTAATAAAAGAGTGGAATCTTTACAGATAATCCTGCTGCTTATTTGCTCTGTAATGATCAGTTTCTTGTGTTCTGCCAGATAAAAATAGTTTGCCGTGGTTTTGTTGTACAGTTTAATGGAACCAAGCAAATTTTCCTGGAATGGATGCTGAATTCCCTGCTCCTTTGTCAAGCAGTGTTGTAGATTAGTTCTGGTATCCAAGAACGAGCGAAGAGAAAGGAGCCATTCACTGAAAGATGCAGGGTCAGAGTTAGAGATCCTCATGCCAGGCTCTTTTGTTGAATCAATTACCAGAGGGCTGCTGATATGCCAGGCAGAATTTGTCCCTAATTCTCTGTGAATAGATTAAAAAAAGTGGATTTAGATTCAAGAGGCACTGGCTGTGCTTAGCCTGGCTTGGCAAGAGGGAAGAGCTTCAGGGAAGTGTCAGAAGAGCTGCCATGCACACTCCTTGCTTTGCAGCTTGTGTGTGCCCAGCACTGCCTGGGAGGGATGTTCTTCAGGGAAGGGAGTAAGTACAGTTTGGAGTTTAGGAAGAAAAATGCTTTTGAATAATCTGTAGATGAGCTACCTGCCAAACTTCAGTTTGTCTCTTAGAGAGACTCACTTTTTTGTGACTTACATGAGAATAATAACGGTTTGTTTTTGTGTATGTGCAACCAGCATTTAAATAATTTTCTCTCATTAAGTACTTGCTTGTTTGCTGCAAGGCAGTGCTGGCTTGGAGTGTGGCTCCACTGCAGTTGGCCATGTTTTGGTGTGTTCTTTCCTCTGTTCTTTCTTTCTTCCTTTTTGGAATTTACTTGGTTTCTTTCCTTTGACTAGCATAGCATATCGTCGTGTCATTCGTGTCTATCAGTATGAAGTTGGGGATGATCTATCTGGAAGGTTTTTTCCTCTTATTTTCTTACCTCACTTTGATTTTCAAACGCACTCGTTAATTCCAAGGCTCGCTTTCCTTCCAACTAACTTTCACGGCTTAGAGATGCTTGGAGGTTTGTTTCCCTGTTGGTTCTTTCCACGGTTGGTTCCCAGCTCCCTGCTCAAGGCTCTGGGCGTGCGCTTCATCTCTAGGCGGGCGTTGAGTTTGAGCCTAAACCCTGTGGTGAGAAACACCCAGATGTTTGGTGTATTTTCATTGCTACAGAGTGATTCAGCACTTGAAATCCCCATTCTCAAGAAGCTCAAAAGCACGTGGGAAGACAGAGTCCAGTGGGGATGAAAAAACCTGGTTTTAGTGACTGAAATACCAGAGATTCAGGTTTTAGGAACTTGAATACCCCAGAGTCAGAGGACACCCCACCTGCACAGCACCCAGACTCACTGTCCATGTGTGGGTCATCCAGTGCGAGCTCTCACCGTACATGTTGGAAGGACAGAGATTCCCAAACACGGCTGCTTAGATATTGCTTGGGATCTTGGGGTGGGGGAAAAGCAGCATCCAGAGACTGTCCATAGCTAGTCTGTATGAAGGAGATCTTGGAGCCCCTGGCCACTGTGGGGACCTGCATGTAAAGCTCAGGGTGGAAATCACTGGGCAGAGTGGCTGAACCTCAGCAGCTCTGGGTGCAGCATGGAGAGGTGGGGTGGGAAAGGCACCTTTCCACCAGGCACTGCTGAGCAGCAGAGGTCTGTAGCTCTCTGCAAGGATTATGCCACATTAAGATTACTTTTCAACCAAACCAGTAGTTCTCACCATCTTTTTTTTACCCTCATTTTACCCTTTGTAACACACCTTTGTAGAGCTCCTGTACCTGACTGCAAATACAGCCCATCCCCAGTGACTCACCTGCAGTTGGTGTGTGTGGTGTGTGCTGGGCACGGGGCAGGGGGGTGGGACTGCACTAAATTCTAATTCCATGAGGTCCAGTAAAGCGGGTGCTTTGAGTCTGGCATGAAGTGTGGCTGCTGATCACGTTGCCTTTCAAATGGGGCTAGAAATTAACTATATACAGAAATAAGAATCAGACAAAATGTACGGTGTCAGTCTGAAATAGGATGAGTCAGAATAAACGAAACACAAAACTAGTGTTTAAATATCTCAAAGGATTTTTCATTTCAAGGAAGGACTGTTAATTTCAAGCCCCACGTGCCATTTTTTTATGAGATAAGTGCCTTCTCTCATTGTTTTTCTGTGTTTAGGTCATGTATGGTGGAAGAATCGGGAACGCTGGAGTCACAGCTGGAAGCTACTAAAGTAAGTGATGTGCACCCATGTCTAAAACATATTTTCCAGCTGGCTTGGGAACACAGGGTGGGAGGGGAAATGCATGCAATTGTGTGGGAAAATCTTAATTGATTTTAGACATTTGGAATACTGAAGAGACCTCTGGGATTATCTGTTTACATATCTGATGTCTACTTACAACACAGGCCATTAAACAACACTGATGTCGTTTTCCATTTTTTTTTTCCTTTTTCCTAAAGGGGCTGCTGGGGTAGGGCAGAGAGGATACAGTGTTTTCAGCACATTTCCTAGTAAGAGGTTTTTTAGTCTCCAGAAGTGGTTTGCAAACCCTGGTTGATAGTGAGCATGAAGAACAACATTGCTTTGAATCTTACTTCACAAATCCTAGTATATGGACATAAAATCCTAGGAGAAAAAGAAGAGTATATCCCTTCCTCCCCTGCCAGCCTCTGGTTTGGTGGGGTTTTTTGTTGTTGTTTTTTGGGTGGTATTGTTTTTGGTGCTCCATGATTTCTCTCCTCTTTGCTCCCTTTTCACAGCGCAAGCACCAAGAGATCCGAGCTATGAGGAGCCAGCTGAAGAAGATTGAGGACCTTGGAGCAGCCATGGAAGAGGCACTTATCTTGGACAACAAATACACAGAACACAGCACTGTGGGGCTGGCACAGCAGTGGGACCAGCTGGACCAGCTGGGAATGAGGATGCAGCACAACCTGGAACAGCAGATCCAAGCTCGGTACTGCCTGGCCCGTGTGTGGTTTGAAGTGTCTGACTGGGGGTGGGGGGAAAGACAGGAGCCACAGCTGCCCATGCCTGCAGCCAGGTCTGTGCTAAGGAGTCTCCTGTGCTCAGACCAATGGATGCAGTGAGCTTGTACATCCCCACCACCTCCCAGTTCCCTTCTGAGAGATGAAGTGAGCAGTTCTGGAGTAGCTCCTGTTGGCCATGAGCAAGGGCAGGATCTTAGTGGAACAGTGTTATTCTGTGGAATAAGTGTGTACAAGTGTTCCCACATGGAATGGTTGTTTGCTCCTTTGTCCTCACTGTGTGGTGCAACTGCTGGGCTCGGAGTAATACAGCTCAGGAACTGCTCATCAGCTTTGCTGCTTCCCTTTCAGGAACACCACTGGAGTCACTGAGGAGGCCCTGAAGGAGTTCAGCATGATGTTCAAGTGAGTTGCAAGGAACACATGCCAGAGGAAGGCTTGGGAGATATTTCTGGCACATGGATCCTGTTTGTAGGATCCGTTCTTGGCTCCTTTGTTGTCTGCCCCACTTTGTGCTGAGCTGCTCCATTATCTGCAATAGCCCCCAACCCCTGCTGCTGGCAGTGCCAATGCATTCCAGCTGGGAATACACATAGGGGTTTTTTGGTGGGAGAGGGTTGCTTTTTAAGCAAAGTTAAGAATTTGTGCATATTTTTCATGTATGCTAGATTAAACTATTTATTGATACAATCTCATTTGTCCAGAATAGGGCCTCAATCTAGTTTTCAGCCCACTTTACAGCTTTCAGGATTCAGTATGGGTTCTGGTTTTATGTTTTTAGGCACTTTGACAAGGACAAATCTGGACGACTTAATCACCAGGAGTTTAAGTCTTGCTTGCGCTCTCTCGGCTACGATCTGCCCATGGTTGAGGAAGGAGAGCCAGACCCTGAGTTTGAGTCTATTCTTGACACTGTAGATCCCAACAGGTATGTGAGTTGGACCTTTCTGTACTGCAAAACACATGGAGGTACTGGCTGGGGAGTTAGATGGAACGTCCTTCAAAGGCTGAGAGCTGTGGTTGTTTTCACAATGACTCATGTGAAAGCCTTTGGGAAGGTAAGACTGATGCTTGTAAAGAAGAAATTCACTTTCAATAAATGATCTGGTGTGAGTTTCCTGCGTTAAAACTTCCAGTCCTTCCAGAACAGTTCCAGCCCCTCTCTGGAGGGTCTGGCAATGCTGTGCTCTGGTGCTCACACTGTGTTTTGCTGGCAGGGATGGACACGTCTCACTGCAGGAGTACATGGCCTTCATGATCAGCCGGGAAACGGAGAATGTGAAATCCAGCGAGGAGATCGAGAGCGCTTTCCGTGCCCTCAGCTCCGAGGGGAAGCCCTACGTGACCAAGGAGGAGCTCTACCAGGTAAGTGCTGGTTGTCGACGCCCAGGGAGGAACACACAAAACTTTTGTTCATAGATAAAGCCCAGCACTGATGGCTTAGAGGGTCATGTCACTGGGCCTCAGTCAGTTCTGACCCTGCCAGGAAATCCCCTGCAGTAAACACAGAAATTGCCGTGACAGTCCTGCTCAGTTGCTTTCTTGGCTTTACAGAGGAAGAGGAAAAGCTTTACGTACCAATGAACAGCTCAGGTTGAATAAAACAAGAGCTACTCAAAGGCCTGGAAAGGAGGACACTGTCCTCAGAACTTCCCTTCCATGTTTTGGGAAACTAGATGGGGGATGTTTCTCCAGACAGCAATGCAAAGGAAAAGCTTGAGCCTAAGTTTAGACAGTATGAACATCTCCTCCCTCTCACTGCCCTGCCAAGACAGCAAGTTTTTCCTGTCTGAATACCACCAGCTGGCAGGAAAATAAAGAGTTTGCAGTGCTTCCTTGTCCCAGTTACCTGTTCTGTCTTCTGTTCAGTGGGAAGACTCTGGTCAGGCATTCCAACCCTTAACCAAGGAGTGTCAACAGCCAGAGCATTTCCATGCTGGGCGTAGTTGTGCTGCTCTGGTTTCTGCCCCGGGGAATGGGAGAGCTGCCTGTCAATGCCCCCTGGCAGCCCCAGAGCCCTCTCACCCCCAAGCTGTGTCTCTTTCAGAACCTGACCCGGGAACAGGCCGATTATTGCATCTCTCACATGAAACCCTACATGGATGGCAAGGGAAGGGAACTGCCTTCTGCCTACGACTACATAGAATTTACACGTTCACTCTTTGTGAATTGATCTGGAACACTAGTACCAAAAGATGCAAAGGACATGCTCACGTTTGCTGACTGTAGCTCTGCATGTGTCTCTCTCTCTTTGTGCTCTACAATAATCAATGTTACTTTATGATGTAACCTTAAAGTGCTTAGCTTAAAACTCTTAGGGAAAAGAAACATGTTGCAGTGTGCTTCAATAAAAGTTACTGGTCGAACCACATCATCTTGTGTTTAATGGTTAAATGCAAATTTAACTGTTAGGTGGAGGCAACTCCAGCTGTTGGTTACCTGTATTTTCCAGGCCAACACTGGAACAGGTGAGTGGGAAACTGTTCCTGGAGTCAGGGCAGTTAAAAGCTTCACACAGCTGTTGTGCTGCTTCCTCAGTCCATGAGCTCACTTGCCAGCTGCTCCAGGTGACTTGTTTCCCTTGGTCCCTGCTTGGTGAAGTCAGAGCTCAGCTGCCAGACTTTGACTGTCCCAGAAGCATCCCCTGCTGCCAGGAGCCGTGTGTGCTTGGTGTTGAATTCCAGACAATACACAGGGCAGTTGTTCATGGACTGCTTCAGGGACACTGTGGGCTTCTGCATGCTCCTCGCCAGGTCAAACAGGTGCACCTCTCCTGCAGACACGGACACGCATTGCAGCTTCATGGCAACAGACATCCTATCTAAAAGCAGGTGAGTATCTGCTTTGTCTGGCACTGAGAGTTATTTTTAACCTGTTTCCCCTGCTGATGGGTGTCTAGGCTGTGACAGACAGCTGACATTACTGCAGGCAGCATGGATTTGTTCTGCTGTCAGAAACCTGAAACTAGCTTGCCAAATTCTGTGAAATCTCCATTCTTTAACTCAAAACTGTTTGGGCAATTTTCTAAGGAAAAAGTTTTCATTTTAAACCGTTAGTTCTGGAAGTAGATGTCAAAAACAAGCTGGAAATAGATTTAGCCACAGTGATCTTGCTGTGCTGTATTCCTGTGAATGACTGTGGCAACAGATTTAAAAGTACCATCAGAAGTGAGAAATAACTTTGCTTGTTCACCTTGCTAAAGTTAGAAATTACTTCTTTGTATAATTACACAGTACAAACAATGGCACTGCTCTGTGCTTGTGGAATCTGCTAATCAGTACAATCAACTTGACTAATTAATACCCAGCACACTCTTAATTTTATGCTTAAGAGGAGACACCTGCATTTACTTGCCTTCCCCAGATGCAGCTGCAAAGACCAGTGGTCGAACTGGAGACCAGCATACACAGAACAGGTATTTCTTTGATAACTGTAGAGCAAACAGGGGCTGTGTCTGCAACATGGAGTGCAAGTGAATTTGTCCATCGGTCCCACAGCTCAGAAAGAGGTTCCTGGGGGAGGGAGGAAGCAAGAAACAGCTCTTATTGTTTTACTGCTAACGATAAAGAACAAAAATCAGTCAAGGAGCATGACCTTGGACAATATTCCTGCTTTGTAAAGGTCTGTGTTTCCTAAAGCAGCAATTGCCAGGCTGTGCTGCGGGCTGTAGAGATGCAGCTTTGTTACTGCCCTCAATTAAGCTTAATGAGGGCTTGTACTGACCACTGATGGGTTGTGGGCCAGGGCTGCCTGAGAACTGCTGATCTAGAGCTGAGTATTGTTCGAGCTGGGTTTGTCTCATGCAAATTAAATGCAAACCTGGGCTGTCAGCATGTTTCACAGAAACAGGGCTTGGGGCCTCCACGGATGGTGGGTGAATTGCTGGCAGAGATGGGAGCTTCTCATTTAAATTATGGCAGCTACTGAGGTCAGAAAAATCTTCAGTAAGATATTTAGTGATCTGCCTAAGTGAAGGGCTTTCTCATATCCTTGGCTTTAAACTGAGTTTTAATTGTAACAGCCAGGATGATCTAAGGGATGGTGCTTCTGTGCCCACATGCCTCATAGTCCAGTAGGCAGCTTCACCAGAGCCAGTGCACGTTGTTTCTCCTACAACGGGACATTCCTAATGCCAGTTGGCCCTTTTTTTGGAACTTGTACACACTCCCAGGGGCTATTTGAAAAATCTGTTTTTAGAGCCAGGCAGTGATAGTGTCCCACATGCAGCACTTGCCTGTGGAAGGGTGAGCAGCTCACGGAGTACACGGGCCCAGCATGAGGGGAGAAGGCGAGTTCTGCTGGTGCCCTGAGGGGAACGGAGCCAGCCGGCCGCAGGAGAGCCGCCGGAGTCTGGGCCATGGTGGAGCACCTCAGGGAATACCCACCTTCCACACCCACAACAAACACACTGGGATCCAAGTGTGAGAAGGACAGCGAGGTCACCCCCACGGCTGCCTCTCCCCAGGCCACCTGGGGAAAGAGACAGAGCTGGTGTGAGCTGGGGCTCCAGAGAGAGGCACAGGCAGACAGAGCCTGCTGGGGACCCAGCGGGCTGTTCACAGCACAGCTTGTGACAGCTCTGTATCTGTGGCACTGAATCCTTCCTACAACGGGGTTCACATGAGTTAACATTACAAGTTCTCCATCCCAGCAACTTCTCTTTAGAGCATGGCAAAACCTCAGCTGTTGTCAGTCTTCCAAGAATGATTTCCATGTGGCAAAGGAGCTGTGGCTCAAGGGTGTGTGTGTTCAGAAGGGGCTTTTCCTGGCCTTTCTTGGAGCTCCAGAGTTCAGAGTGTTTTTGTGGAAAGGGCACTCTCTGAGCTGCTGAACTCACCTTCTTTAGCCGAGTGCTGCGAGGGATCTGCTGAGCCACGATGGCAAATCCTTCAGCCAAGGCCAGCCACCCATCCCGCTCCTCCCTCCACACGAGGATCTTCCCATCTGTCGCCACACTCAAGAGCCGGACGTGGTTTCTGTGCTTGGTGTCAGGTAACCAGTTAACCTGTTCCAAATGCCAGGAGCTCAGGACAACGGGGACTGTCACAACGACCCAGCCCATGCAGCCTGCAGTGACTGGGTCTACCCAGACACAGGAGCAGAGCCAGGCACCAGCCTGATACCAAACAAGCTTCTGCTGGGAGCTGGTGCAGACACAGATGCAACAAGAGAAACACATCCAGTGTTTAGGGCTGCATCTCCATTGCAGTTTGTATGATTCACCTGCTCTCAGTTTTGGGATGGGCATTTATGGCACTTTCACCCAGCTCCAAACAACCATATTTTCCTGAGGAGCATATGAGAAAAATACACAGAATATCCAGAGTCACAAGGCCCCAGAAGGGCAAAATCCTTAGGAAGCCAGGCTGCATGACATGCTCATAAAAGCCCTTAAAGCAGGTGGCTTTCAGCTTCCAAGGATCAGTTTCCCATTTGTGTTTTTAAACCACTCCAAATATCATTGGCTGCATCTCCTGTAATAAATGATTATAGTTTGGGAATAGGTCTCCATTTATCCTGGACAGTGAGAAGTCATTTTTTACAGGCTAAGTGCCTGTTCAGGAGCTAGATTTGGGGGGAAATAGCCAACCAAAAAAGAATATTAACTGCTGACATGTCTGTGAACTGCTTAGCTGTGGATGGGGACCAAAGGGATGACAGACACAGAGCAGTGGCAGCTCTCACCTGCCCCAGCCCTGCCTGCTGTCAGTGTTCTCTGTTACCTGATAGACTGGGTCAGTGTGGGTGTCCTCTGTCATCCCTGTCCTCCAAATCACAGGGTCTTCTGTCCTGCTGGTGTCCCATACTACCAGCTCCCCACTGAATAGGCCACCTGAAAAGACAAATATAAAACATCTAAGGTCTGACAGCTCAAAAGAAATGCACAAATGGAGCAATGGTGGAAACAGACCCACCAGCTTCAAAGGCTGGGCAGTTCTGTGCAGAGCACAGCCAGTTCTGGTGTAAGAGAGTATTGCTCTGCTGAAATAAGTTTATTCCCTTACAGCCAGGGCTGGATTTCCTTCTGTCACCTCCCTCTGAGAAGGGGATATAAAGGCAGGTGTCGCTGAAGAGGCAGCAAGTCCCAGTTCAGATGTAACAGTGCACTTATTTGTGTTGGTGGGTGTTAGTTCCTCAGTTTGAGGAGCTGCAACACTGTTCCTTTACAGGAAATCTGAGGCTGAACTCAAAGAGAGAAACCAAAGGATCCAGGCTGCAGGAAAAAAGGGTATGTTTCAAGTGTATCTGAGGTAAGAACAACGCACCAGCTATCAGTGATGGCTGGGAGGGATGGAAAGCCAGGCACATGACAGAACTGGGAACATCCACCACCAGGTCAGGGTGCTGTGAATTCAACCCTCTTCTGTCCAGATTCCAGGTACAAACATATGATTTTTCTGTGCTCCAGTCCCCATCATCCAACCTGAAAGACAAAAAGCTACATCTTGCTTTGTGTGTTCCAGAGGATTCCAATCCAGCAGAGCTCTGAGATTCCCCACTGGTCACCTCTGTTGCTTTGTGTCCTGCCATGAAGGATTCACGAGGGGATGGAACTTCTCTGTGGGCTGGTTTATACAAGATGTCACAGGGCACATGTCTGTGCTTACAACAAAGTGGCAGCCAGTAAATTTTGGGTACAATTTCCCTATTCCAAAACCTACTCACCATTCAAATAATGGGAACAATCAAAAGGGTGCATATGGAAAGTTTATGGAAGGAATTCTGCTGAGGGTACCCACAGACACAGAAACCACATCCTCATCTGCAGACAGGTGTAGACTGGGAGAGCAGAAGGAGCAACTAACATACAGGTTTGCCCTGTTTTACTCTTCCCTATACACTCTCTCACAGACACCCTTTTTGCTGGGGCTTTTAATCAAAGGAAAGAGGAGCATTAAAAAAAAATAGGCCTAGCAGTAGGGCCAAGAAAGAGGGGGCTGCTAATGATATTAATGGATTAGATAAATGATTTGTGAAACCCTTATTTCAGAAATCCTTAAACATGTGTTGTTACATGTCCATGGCACCAGGCACATGTGTGAACAGGTGCCAGGTTCATCCAGGGTGCTCAGAGACCACATTAAACATCACGATCTCAGTGAAGATAAAGTGCATTCTCCCAAACCTCACTTACAGATATTTGCAAGTGCATCTGCTCTTTAAATTTTTCAAACAGAATCTACCTAGAAACAAATCAGTAAGATCATGTATCCATTTTCAGGGTGGGCAGAAGGTAAAAGAAATAAAAGATGTAATTCCGTACTTATAGATATAGATATATAGATATAGATATGTCAGCCTATTACTGCAGAGAAAGTAAACATATGTAGACCTCAGGCCAGCCTGAGACATCACATCAGCCTCAGCTGCACTCCCAAATCCATCTGGATACTCACCGGCCATAGGAACATGCAATGACAGATCCCGTGGCATTCCATGAAACACTGGTGACCTGCAAGTTTTGATCCTGAGCCTCTGGGTATGACAATGTATGCAAACACAACACCTGGAAGAGGTCAAATCCAAGCACTGAGACAACAATCTCTGAACAGAGAGCAATGAGGTTTGTGCCCACCCCTGATGTGATTGTGTGGTTACAGTGTGAGTTTTCCTCAGTTCAAGAATTTATGTGAAAAGGTTGTTGAATCCCTGTTGGGAAACAAACCCACAACACAGCTGTCACTCAAACACAACCTCTCAGAGAGTGCACAGCTCTGGAAGGCTGTGCCTAAGAATTTACAGCAGCTGCCAGGTGTGAGTTTGGCACTTGCTGAGCTCCACAAGTAACAGTTTGAAAATGCCAGTCCCAACATGTACTGTCTGATACAAATTGCTTCCATTCCTGAGCACCATGCACTAAATAAACATAATATAAGCAGGCAGAGCTGCCAACTCACTGACTGCAACTGTTCCTAGATTCCTGCTAGGCTGGAGTGCTCTGAAGAGGCTGAAGAAAAGCCTACACCAACTGCAGGCTTCCTCCTCTCGCTGCTGCTACAGCTCAGTTACCAGCAGGAAGAGCAGTTTTACCAAGCAAGCAGAAAGCTGAAAAAAAGCCTCAAGGCAACCCAACTGGTAATGTTTAATTATTAGAATTATTATTGGAATTATTTATTATTAGAATATTATATTATTGGCAAGAACAATCACAGCAATAAGGACTAGAACTAACAACTTAGAGTAACTGGAACCACCTCTGCTTGGACAATGACCTGAAGTCTGTCACTTACTGTTTCATCCTGATCTGTCCAGTTCACTTCAAAGCCATCAAAGGCATGACTTTTCCAGTTTTTATTTAGCTCTTTGATAACAGTATCCTCCACTCTCTGAAGGAATGACAGAAGCCTGGTGTAATCTATTTGGACTTCTTGCTGGAAGTCTTGGAAAGCATCTTTGCTCTGTTCTGTCTGCACCGCAGCATCTCGGGCTGTATGAGATTGTGCTGCAGCTTCTGCTGTTGAAATTTTCACAGTCTGGCAAGTTTTCTATTAAAAGAAGACAGGCAGTCTATAATCCAAGCAGAAAAACAAGTGTTGCACAACGCATTCAAAGCACTTTCCCCTTCCTGCTGTCTCACGGAGACATTCCAGCTCCTCTGCACAGCTCTGGTTCATGGTTAAACACAGGGTACCTCTGTACCTGCCCAGCTCCTGGTGATGCGTTTGTGACCTTCCCAAAATCTGACCGGAGACAGAGATGCCCGAATGCCAGTCAGATTCATGCAGTGCTCTAAAGCATGGAATGGGAAGGACGGGAGAAGGCAAGGAGGTAGCGAGCTCCAGAGTAACGCAGAGCGAGCAGCACACACGGCGACAGCGCAGCATTAGCAGCTCTCAAACTGCGGGGCGGCAGCCGCTCGGGCGGTTCTTTGCCAATTCGCACACAAGGGCTCAATCAGCAAAAGGCTGACGGGACAGAGCCGGGACAGACACAGGCCCGGCCGCCCCGGCCCCCGCACGGTGCCAACAGCGACCTGAGCAGGAGCTCTCGGGCCCGGCCCCGCTGGAGCCGCGGGACCTGCGGGGGGTCACGGACGAACAGGATGGGGACAAGTCGGGGCACGATCCCAGAAGGTCCGGGGAAGGCGCAGGCCTGACAGCCGCCCCCTGCCCGGCCCGCTGGTACAAGAGCGCGGAGCGGGGCGGCTCCGGGGGTCTCTCACCGCCTCGCAGCGCGCGCTCCGGGCGCTCCTCCACAGCGACTGCACGTCGGCACCGGGTGCCGTCCTGTCCGCGAACATGCCGAGGCCGGGGAGGGCCCGGCGGTGCCGGGGGGATCGGGGGTCGCTCCCGGCGGTCGCGGCCCGTGACGCTCCCACGGCCCGCGCCTCCGGTTCCCATGGAAACGGGCG